AATATTTTTATGTTTGATTTCTTTTGTTTCATTTTTAACATTATTTACTTAAAAATTTTACAATTTATATTTGCTAAACCGTGAACTTTGAAACAATTTTTAAGTTGAAGTTATAATATTCATAAAAACACCATTTTGGTGTTAAATTATTTAAAATTATTATTCTATTTATGTTCAGGTATAAACCATTTCCTTTTTCGTTTCATTAGTTCATTCATGGATTAGGTTTGAGATAATTCAACAACTCGAAACTAAAACCGTACTATTTCACTTTTTTTTTTTTTAAAAGCTCGTCGAACTACATCAGTAATACGAATTTCCCGTGCAAAATTCTTTGCCCATCTACATCATGCCAGAGAACAATGTGTAAAATCAAATCGTGCTTGAACCTAAATAAATTGCGGTTGAAGTTATTTTTTCATTTTTCGCTAGCTGCGCTTACTACAGCAGCTTTTGTAAAAGAAAACGCTCGACTGGTCTAATTTTATTGTTAGCTTAGCTCTTGTCGAAAGCTCTTTCTCTATCGTTCTACTTTTTTTTCTATTTCAATGAATCGAAAATACACGTATGTAAACCGCACGAAAAATTTAATAACAACTCTGTAACATTACCATTACCAGTAGAAAGTAACATTGATTAAAAGTAAGATGAAAGGTAGACATGTGTTCGTTAGTATTAGAGTGCTGCTAGTTTAAAATTTGTGCCTAAAAAGGTCGCAATGTATTGCATTGTATTAATCGAAACTGCACATCTTACTCTACTTACTCTAACGTTTATAACGATGGGCTTTTGTTTCTTTTTCTTTTTTGGGTGTTTCAGTCCCACCAGCCACTAATGTTGGTGGGCGAGCAGTCCTTCCAGATTACGTCGGAAAGTAGGGCGGAAGGCCCTCTTTAGCTATCTTTTAGGAATCATGCGAATGGGTAGGTGGTTAGTTGGTTGTTCGGGTGAAAAAGATGAAACGGATGAAATGAAGACAGAAGATAATGAAATATTATCTGTAGAATATTACTGCCCCCAGCATTTGCCTAAGTGATCGAAGGAAATTACAGAAAAACTTGAACCAAGGCAGACGGACTCGGAATTGAATCAGCGTCCCCCCAAATGCTAAGCAATGGTCTAAATTTCTAGGTCAAGCCACTCGGTGACTTTCTTGGACTCGTACACGACTCATTCAGATTTGGTTGTAAAAAAAATATCCAAGCAATAAATGTGATCGTTGATCAAACAAATAAGTGGCGCATTAAATCAAATATCTTTTGAATCAATTTTTATTATGACAGAATTGTTGAAGAAATGTCAATTTTACCATCAAAATAGATAATGACAGAGAGACGTTCAGATGAGAAAGAAAAGACGGACGAAATGAAAACAGAAGCGAATGAAATATTATCTTTGGAATATTACTGTCCAAGCATTTGCCTAAGTGACCCAAAGAAACCACAAAAAAACAGACGGACTCGGAATCGAATCGACGTCCTCCCAAATACTAAGCAATAGTCTCAACCTCCAGGTATGCGTGATGATGAGCTAACTATAAACACGGCAGTTTTGGTTGTAACCTCGTATCTCATTTCATTTGAAAATAAAAAACTTTGTGGTATCGTGGGACACCTGGACACTCTGTCCAGTCATGTTTTATAATTAATTGGTTATTTGACCAAAAAGAAATCCCTTTTTGTCCTGTAAATGTCACAAACGAATAATACCTTAGTAGCTCATGTCTTATGGTTTTATTTTTAGTTAGTTGTTAGTCTGTTCTCCATATCCAATGCAGTTAAACCGTTCCTCTTCAAACACATTTTCATAATTGATCTCTTTTTGTGTCGAGAGGATCTAATAACGCTCCCAGCCAGGAGTTCTGGCACTTGAAGCCAGGAGTCACAGCNTCTAATAACGCTCCCAGGAGTTCTGGCACTTGAAGCCAGGAGTCACAGCTGCTTCCTTGCCTTGACTACCTCTGCATTGATTCATAATAAAGGTCCTTATCATAAACCTCTCCTACCAACGCCTATATAGATACATATTCCTATTTAAGGAACGACGTCACGTTTATCGCGTTTGATATTAAAAAAAAAAGCATAGCTCAGTCGTTATTTGTACTTTGCCCTAATGATTACAGAAAAACGTACCAAAATTAAATTAAAGTTTCATAAATTATTTACTAGTGGGTCTCGGATAAGTTCAACATTTCAGTAAAAATAACGATTTTTAATCATATTCACAAAGAAGGTAAAAAACTCATCTGATTTTGAAAAATAACTCCGATTTACGGTCACTCAAATCATTTCTTAAAAATGAAAATCGATTTCAAGACCAATTCTTTCTTTGGAATAAGATGTATATGTACTGTAGGTGATTTGTTTTAAGACCTTAATGCACAAAAGCGTATACAATAAATTATGCAAGGTAGTACACTAAATACCCTTTTAAGCTAGATGTATAACAACACGGACTGCCTAGTACATACATGGGTAATTTAAACAAAGAAGTTAAATTACCGTTGGTAAACTAAGAGCATATTGTGTTACTAAAGAGTTCCGAATTAAGTTTCTTAGTTTTCTTGTGTAGCATGCTGGAAATAATTTATAGTAACAATGCGGCAAACATTTGTCATTTCTCATTTTAATAGATACCTAAGCACCGAGTGGCCCTCTCGGAAGAATACTATCACACACACACACATACACACACCACACACACACACCACACACACACACCACACACACACACACCACACACACACTACACACACACACATACATACACACACACATACATACACACACACATACACACACACACACACACAAATACTACAACTAGAAAACTACATACAGTTACAATAATTAAAATTGACAAAACAGCCGCATTTTTCGAATAATTGCAATTTCATTTTTTTATGTCTTAATCGAATTAATGAGTGAATATTATTTAGGTATCTGCTATGATCATTTATTCTGTCTTTATGAGAAGTTACTTTTTAAAATCTGATAGCACAGGATAATAATACAGTTTGTGTTTGAAAAATAATTAAAAGGGCGGTTAATGTTTGGATCACATGTTAT